CCCCGAAAAAAACAAGGCTGGCAAAATAAAAACAAAAGAAAAGTACCTCAATCCTGGCTTCCGGCTACTTTCTGAAGGCACTGGTGATGTAACCTTGCTTTACCGCTGCCTCAAAACAATATGGGTGCCTAAAATCCCATGAGAATGTACTGCAGCACATTGCAGGAGCATATTCCTTTGGTGGCTGTCAGTAAAGTATACCTTGCATTGCTCTGCAAAGCTTTAAGGGGCAATTACTAGTTATTATCCTAGCTGAATCATGCATAGTTTGTTATTTCAGCCATCTGTCTGTTCCCCAAGGATAGGCAGAATCCAAGCTGTGATCCCCATCACACTGAGGAAAGGCCATAGTCACCTGTGCTACAAGCTACCATTTTAAGCAGTAAAGCATTAAGCCTCCCCTTCAGCAATAATAGAAAGGCTTACCTCTGCTTGGTGACAGACTCTCCTCTCTCTAGCTGTACCTCAAATGTCGATGACACCAGCTATGTCTCTAGCCAATAGCACATAGAATTCAAAATCTGCAAATGGTGTTCATGATCAATATAACAATATTTAAATATCGGAAACTTCCTGGATGTCCTTTTGGATGTCCTCATATTAATTATGGTATTATGCTAAAGCGCTTCTGAAGAACATGTTCTGTTATGTGCTGATTTGGGTTCCTTCATTTTACTGATTAAAGGCCTCCCTTTATGGGTCAGGCTCCCTTTGCTTACTGCAGTGATGTCATCAGGTGAAATTGCACTATAACATGGGACTACTAATAAGGCCATATGACAGACCATATATATTAAATATGGACGTACAACCCAGATATATTAATGTTCTAAATACACCCTCATAATGTTAAATTCCATCTTCTTTCTGTTGCCCTGGATTTTGATTTGGTCCTATTTGGCGTAGTTATTCTTTTTCTTAATTGTGTTATCTGTTCTCTCCCTAGACTTGCCAAGAAGTCTTGGTTTGGTAACTTCCTTACGCTGGAAAAGGAGGATCAGATCTTCGTGGTCATTAAAGATAAGCCTTTAAGTTCAATTAAAGCTGACATAGTGCAAGCGTTTCTCTCGGTAAGATTGTTACCCCAAAGTCATGCCTACTTTCCTTAAAATGTATTATCACTTTTACACTCAAAATTGAGGAAACCCCACTACATGTTATGTGTTCCTATTCACGCAGCATATCTAAAAACAATTCTAAAAACTATATTTCTTACCTTTTAGATGTTTCTATTTGGCAGGCCTTTACTTGCTCCTCTCTCAATGTCAGCAAACTCTGACTGTCCTAATAGACATACTAAGGACAGACTGAGTGTCTCCGCATTAAAAAAGAACAAATCGGTAAGTGTTTTTCCCCATAGTTCTCTTAAGGGTCAAGGGAGGACATATACTAGCATCCTCCCGTGACCCAAAGCTCAGTATATCGCGAGCTACAGCCTGCGGTATACTGAGACCACCGCAGCCGGGACGGATCCCGACAATGCTGTCGAGATCCACCCAGCTGCGTGAATGACAGCTGGCTCTGCCTATCTAGAAACAGAGCCAGCTGCGCCCGGCCCCTCCCCCGTCCTTTCTGCCATTCAGCACTGGAGGAGAGGGGAGAATCCATGCAGAGAGTCGTGACTGACAGTCACGGCTCTCTGCAGGGAGATGATTGAGAAGTGAGCAAGCGATGGTATGTATTCGCTCACTTCCCGATCTATTGAGCATGACGTGTGACAGTTTCATTGTCGCTTGTCGGCTCAAACTATGAGGATGAGTGATTTTCACTCACCTCATAGTTCTCCTGTAACATACAGTTAGGGGAATTTATCAAAGCTAGAGCAGAAAAATCTGGAACAGTTGCCTATGTCAACCAATCGGCTTCTCTCTTCAGTTTGTTCAGTTAAGGGTTTATTCTTTGAAACAAAACAGACAGTGAGAACTAATCAGGATTCTTAAATCCTGAAATGAGCAGAAAGAGCATCTAAAAAGGGTAAGCTGCAGTTTTTTTAAAAGTTATGCTATGTGATTGGGAACATGTAACAAATATAAAGCAGGCATTATTCCAATTTGGCTCCAAAAGTAGAAATACACTTTAAATCACTACAAGTTATATTTACTATAATAAATGTGTGTGCTGATACCTTGGACAGCAACATAAAATAGAGCAGCGCCAGAGCAAAAAAAATATAGATTAAATGTTCTTTTTCCTGGAGAATTGTAGGTAAATTCAGTAACAGTAGTGCACTGTGAGAGGGTACAAGGCCTACTGGGAAGAGTCATTAGTCTCTCTGTAGCACAGTGAGCATACAACAATCTGATGATTGTTTTGCAGACTCTTGATTGGTAGACTGCACATACAGCAGTGTTTTGGATACCACATTCCGGTTTTATTATTTAGGATACTTACATAAGGTGGATGTCTAGATCAGCATGGCTTTATATACAACTCTAAACATAGTAATCATAAGATGTGAATTCTTACAATAAACCCCACAACTAATATCTGGCACAGGTGTTTGTATAAAAGAACCTGGCAATTGTCTACATTGTCTTGTTTTGTCTTCCCCACAGATCCCAAGCCTCAGTCACAGTGTGATCTCACAAACAAGTTTCAGAGCAGAGTACAAATCCACAGGCGGTCCATCTGTCTTCCAGAAGCCAGTGAAGTTTCAAGTGGATATTACATATTCAGAAGGTGGAGAGAAGCAGAAGGACTCTGGAATATACTCAGTCACTTTTACTCTGCTATCAGGTATCATCTCCTATGTAAACATGCCTCCCTGAATATCTTTCACACATTGCTATTCTCTACCTATGAAAAGGTTAGGATACTGTGCTGTAGATGTGACCATCTAGCCAACTGGTCCGGCCATCTTTACCCGATTCAGCCATACTTGAGAATGGTCAAGTCATGCTGATTAGGCCATTTAACATCTGAACCAAACTTGTAGACTGTTCAGACAAAAGGATTATTTGTATGAGGGTTCTGTATACACAGCATGGCCAAAACAAAGTCACACATCTAATATTTCATCTCTCTTTGGCATTGATTACAGCACCCATTAACCATGGCATTGCTTTGATAAGCTTATGCAATGTCACAACATTTATTTCCGTCCAGAGTTGCACTAATTTTCTTGTATTGATGATGGGAGAGTCAGACCGCTGTGTAAAGTCTTCTCCAGCACATCCCAAAGATTTTCAATGGGGTTATGGTCCGGACTCTGTGGTGGCTAATCCATGTGTAAAAATGATGTCTCATGCTCCCTGAACCCCTTTTTCACAATTTGAGCCCGATGAATCCTGGCATTGTCATCTTGGAATATGCCTGTGCCATCAGGGAAGAAATAATATATTGATGGAAAACCCTGATCATTCAGTATATTCATTTAGGCAGCTGACTTCATTTTTTTGGGGACATAACATTGCTGAACCTAGACGTGACCAACTGAACCAACCCCAGATCATAACACTTATTGAATGGAAGGCTCTCACCTATTTGCTAAGCTAAATCCAGCTGGTGACTTTTTTTTGGCCAGGCAGTGTATGAACAAATTCACAGGGTTATTCACAAAAGGGTGAAGAGTTTGGAGAAGGCAGGAGAAGTGAACAATCTAGGACAACATCGCTAAACCGGAAAGTGAGCTGAACTTGAGAATTTCTCCAAATCAGCTATGTTGTCCTAGATTGTTCACTTTTCCTGCCTTCTCCAAACCCTTCACCCTTTTGTGAATAACCCTGTTAGTCTCTGTGGGTCCACTTATCCTAACTCTTGAGTAAATATAGTCAGGTTTGGAAGCTCAATTTTTGGCAAGTAAGGTCTAAAACATTGGTTTTACCTAATTATTGCAATGTATGGGCATTTCAACTCAATGGCAGATGTATTCTCAATGTTACTGCATAGTGGCCCTGTGATTTCATGACCTGGGCTGTAGTAAAGTAAATGGTGCTTAGCTCCTAGAGTTAGTGTTCATGTGGCTTAAAGTGTATTTAAACCCTAAATCTATTTTTCGGTATGTTTGTCATTATGTTTCACGGTTCAGTACTACACAGAGGCCTGCTGCTCTCATCATCTGTAACTGCTAGAAGAAGCAGTTTCTTAACATGAAGCAATTTCTGTAATGCAGTAACATTGCATAATGTACCCTGCAGTGTGTGTCGTTACAGTTTTCATTGCCACCTAAAAGCTCAGTGTAGATAAATATAGCAACAGTACCACCTGCAGTATGTCACGCTGTGCTGCAACTCATTTACGGAAGTGTCTGAGTTTCATTTACAGCTTTGTAGGAAAATTGTCAGGACAATTGCTATCTGTCAGAGCCAAGGCCCCTATCCAGTACTGCAGGCTGCCGCTGTCCAATACCAGAAAAGGGCCACGGCTCATCTCTGCAGCATCGTACTGCCATCTATGCATCTAATGCCTTCAGTGCACTGCCAAACGATTCAATGGTTTATTAAAACACGGGTGGTCCCAATTCAACTTGTGAACATCTTAGGAAATTATAATTGTCTATGCATATTAGAGGACAGAGAAAACAATTGCGATTGTCCCCCTGGCACGTGGAATTGCATTTCCTTTAACCAACAGATGTAGTATGACGCATGGTTTACATCATAATGGAGAACAACATGGAATCAGAAAAAAAATGTTATTGTCTATATCTCTGTTATATATATGTCTATATGTCTAATACAGTCTTAATTTAATTATATTTGTTATGTCTGCGGCAATTCATATTTCTTTTTTAGCTTGTATGATTTAATTATATATAAATCTGAGCAGTTTAGAACATAGATCATCACACTCACCTTAATCTGAAGATTAATCATAGGTAAGGCTATCTTTGATATGTTTGCGGCAGAGATCATGCGGTACACTGCCATTCACAGTGTTCTGTAGAGATAACAGTTTTATCTGTTATCCTCCAAAGACACGGTTAGGGGGATTCAGAATACTGTGTGCAAGTGGAAAGTCTACTTTATGGGGTGACTTTTAAGCAAAACCTTTTTTACGCAAATCTTTTTGCACATTTAAAAAAGAGCTTTGGTGCAAAGATGCAAATTAGACACATAGGAAAGAAAAATCTTTCTACTAAAATGCATTTCACTTTGTAAAGTGAATGCATTTTACTACAGGAAACAGGCAATGTGAATGGGCCCATAATGATAAGGGGAATTTTAATGTATTTATTTTTTTATAAAGATTATAAGGAAATTAAAGTTTTTTTTCAAAATATAGAGCCAGCATTAGACAGTGACCAGAAGAGGCATTCTACCTTTATAAGTGTATGGTCTTGATATTAAAAACATAATAGGAAATGTTATATGTATGATAAGGAGGCAAATCATTTCTGGAGCACTACAATCTAATGCCTCCTCATAATATCAGCGCTGTAGTAGCAGGAAGATTTCCTGCAAGAGCAGCTAATAATAGTCCACTATAATAAAATAAAATAAAAATAATAAATGCACACACATTAATAAAATAAAAAAATGTGCATTTATAATATTTTTGCATTGAAGTCTGTAAAGCATTGCAACCACACTCAGTATTGGACGTAGGGTTGCCACCTTTTCTTCAAGCCAAACCCGAACACTGTAGCACCTTGCGGCAATTTTTTTGTAAAGTATACACGACGCATGTATTTGGAGTTAATCACAACTTGCCAGTGTGCCACAGGTCCCCAGAAATATACTATATAAAGCAATATCCATATACTTTGCCGCACCCATTACCCGATATCCATGCAGTGATCTGACTCCAATAGACTATGCCTCTATCCATACCGAGATAAAGACTGTCAGTTACGGGACAGAAAGAAGTGTCACTAGACTACAAATGCGGTGAGATGGGAAGATTTCTTTTACAAGTAACATAAAATAGGTTGTAATTCCTGCTACTTCATGCATCTAAATGGATTGCGTCTCCTTCCAGACAGCAGTTCTTGGAATTATTGTACAGTATTAGCATGATCTAGCTGTCTGCCTCCACTCATTAAGTTGTGTCTACGTTCATGGTGGGTGAACCATAAGATTAATGTTTTTGCACGTTTTTCTTCAAGTACCACTTCAGTGTATGTTTTTTCCAGGTTGCTTCATGATATCGGCTAAAACACTTTTCTCTGAAAATGTTTCTACTACATACAAGTACTAGGATGAAGAGTAATTATGCCCTTGTGGTGGTACTGGAGAAAATATTTAGTCATTACTGTCCTAGTTGTTATAGGTGTTTTTTTGGTGTATTTTTAATGGTTGCTGAAGATACTGTGTGAGGTCATTGACAAGCCATGCTTTTTCCTTGTCCTAGGTCCCAGCAGGAGGTTTAAACGGGTTGTGGAAACAATTCAGACTCAGCTCTTGAGCTCACATGAACAGCCGTCTGTACTGCAGCTATCAGGTGAGAATTCACTAGCAGGCTAAAGGAATACCTTATTAAAGGGTCAGTCCACCCAAAGCTAATATTTGGTCATTTATAAATGGTGGTAGGTTGATTCAGTTAATAGCTCCTTATAGCCCCCATTGATTCTTACATAGAGCCTCACTAGTACTGCTGCAGTTGGAGTAGACTTAGGGGTCTATTCATGAAGCAGCCGAAGGATCTAGCCGTAGCTTCAGACGATCCTTTGGCTACCTTCGGCCCCAGGACCCCTTCGGTTCAGTAGAACCGAAGGGCTGCTGTACGGGCTATTCACTATAGCCGGTACAGCTCCCAAAGTCGGCCGGGCGGCTCAGTCGAGCCGAAGGCATATGCTTCAGCTCGACTGAGCCGATTTGAAAGATGAAGCTGGCCGACAACCTGCTTCTGACAGCTGGGCGGAGCCAGCCATGATCTTACGGCTGGCTCCAGCCACTTGTAGAGAGATCAGCGTCCCTGGTTACCAGCTAACCAGGGACACTGATCTCCAGGCAGCCTAACTCTCCCGGGCGCTCCGGAGAGAAACACTGCTTTTCTTTTTTTTTTTTATTGTGATACGGAGCCGTTGGCTGGCATCAGAATTAAAAAAAAAATGTCACCATAGGAATGCATTGCTAGATTCCTATTGGCATCCGCCCACTACTGCAGTTCTCCATCAGGTCCCCACTAGTGATTGACAGCAGCAGAAGGCGGGTGCAATAGCTAGTTTGCTATTGGCTATTGCTATTGGCTATCTAGCAATGCATTCTTATGGCGAAAGAATGCATTGCTAGATAGATTGATGGCAGCAGAACCGCCGGCCTATAGAAAACAGTTGGGCGGAGCTAGCTGTCATTGCAATCGTTTTCTATTTTTTTTTCTCCTTTTTTAACTATTTTCCCCTCTGCTAGGTCCCACAGAGGGACCGAGCAGAACAGCCGAGCCGAATGCAGCTCAGCGGCATTCGGCTATTTACTCACTGCTGTTCGGCATCTATAAGAATAGACCGAACAGCCGCGAGTAGCCTGCTGGAGGATCGGCTCAGCCGATCCAGGTGTTGGATCGGCTAAGTCGAACTCCTTCTGCACTTCGGGTCGGCCAAACATGCTGAGCATGTTCGGCCAACCAGAAGCCACACAAAGCCACCCGATGTACGGCTGATTTCAGCCGATATAGGGCTGAAATCAGCCGTACAAACTTTAAGTGAATTGCCGAACAGCGTTCGGCTCACTTCCCTTCAGGTCGGTCACTCGGCCACTTACTGTTACATTTTTCATAATGCAAAGCAAATGAAAATTCCAAAAGGAGATGTGAGGCCTTTCTGTAACATTCATGGTGATATAGTGGAGCTGGGATTTCAGCGACAGAGAGCTTGATAGTAAAGTGTTTAAATCGAACCTTTGCTTTGCCCGTACAGATCAAAGCAACCACCTCACTTATACTTATCTTCCCTTCTCTACCCAATTGCTCTGCTTGCCTGCTGAGAGCAAAGAAAGTACTTGCAGGTATCGGTAGCATGTGACTCAATCCTCTTCCTCCATTGTGACAGGTCTGATATTTGATGATTGGCTGCTCTGGCAACTATCATTGTCACATGGGGGCCCAGGAAGATAACCTTAACCCTAAGTAAGGTCAAAGTGGCTCCCAGAAGCCAAAGAGATCAGTAAAGAAGTGAAGAAAACATAGGTATAGGTTGTTGGTTGGTCTAGTATTATAATGAACCTTTTGCTTTGGCTTGCATGGGCAAAGCACAGGTTCACTTTAAGAAGAATAAAATCATTCTTGCTAGGTTCAGCCTGCCAACATTTATTTAAAGCTGAAATTGTGGGAGAACTGGCTCTTTAATAACTTGGTACTTTCTGTAACTTATTGGTTTATGATGCAGCCAAGGATCTCCAGACATGGGCAAAGCACTGTGCTAAGAAATGTATTAAATACATAATATTAATGTTGATGAGAGCAGCCATGGACTTCTAATTAGGCCCCATTCACACATGTGCAATATGCACTGCAGGAAAAATCAGTGGCGGCTGAAATACCAAGTCGTCTAAATAATTGTAAATGTTACAAAGCTTTTATGTGCTTCCATCACATGGTGACAATTTCCCCCTAGGCAAAAGGCATACAAATGCATTAAAATGTGTGTTCACATAAGAAGCGCTGGCTATGGCACGCGATAATGCACATGTGTAAGTGAGACTGGCGCATTCAACTTTTACTAGCAATCTGCCATTCCACAGGATATCTGAACCAAGGTCTTTATGATTACAACCTTTACAACCTTTTCTTAACTAAAAGCCACCATGTGCTTCTTCAGCCTAAACTAAAATGTGCTACCTGTGTTTAGCATATAGTGTCATGTGTCAACTCTGTTATTTTGTGACATTATACTGCACCTAACCTAAACAAATGTAGTGATTTTACTTTAACATGGCGGAAGCTTAATGTGGGAATTAAAAAGAAATTGCATCAAAACAATTATGTAATGATATAATCACGTCACGTTTCTTGGCTGAATCTATTCTACTGAGTTACAGAAGTATATATTCTGGCTTTAGAGATTAATTTGAATGATTTGAAATGGTAAATAAGCATAGAATGTTATCACACTGCCACATAGCATAGATTAGCAAGTACTATATGCTGAGATCTTATGTAGTGGACATTGGGTGACATTGGTCAGTAAGGTGATGGATGCATTAATTGGAGGAGAGTGAGGTGAGTTTGCTGTGTAAATATTACTGATCTCCATTCCCCATTATGTTGCTGTCACCGTGCACTTTTAGGAGTTGATTTACTAAAGGCAACTAGGCTGTTCAGTTTGAATTTTCCTTTTGCTTAGTGAATGAGGTAAGATTTCACATTCCAATTTCATTCCAAGCAAGGACATGCTTGCACATGATTGTATGACGGAAGTCCGCAGAGTTTCAGCGGAGCTTCACCTTACTCATTCACTAAGCTGAAGGGAAAATTCCCTAGCAAAGTGCAATTTCCGTTACATAGCGAACAGTCTATTTGACTTTAGTACATCAAGCCCTTAGGCTCTGCCATCCTACAACTCTCTTTGTCTGCATTGGGGTGCCCCTGTCACTTTACAGCAAAGAGTATGATACAAAGGAAGAGGATAGGTAAGATAGGCACTGTCTCTTCCCTCTTTTGGGGAAATTAAAGGGTATTTTGGAGGAGTTATGTTAAATAAACCATCCTGGACCACTAAACTTATTCCTATTTCAGTGTGCTATGCCACTATGGTGGTTAGGTATTATGAGAATGTTCTTCTCCTCAAATGATGTTCTTAATAGTTCCAGGCAAACAGTATGAAGGTGTAATGCCTGATATAAAGAGTAGGCAGTTAACAGCTCTGGTGCAGGTCTCTGCTTCCCTCGGCAGCCAACAGTTTGTTTCCCTTTTTTTTAAATTGGTGGTCCATGAGTATAATTAGGGAGGCAAAGACTTAGCTTTATAACCTTATTTGCTGTGGAACTTGAAACTTTCAAAAAAAACAACAAAAAACGAAACTAATTCCACAGCTCATCTGGTGGCATGCATTGTCACAGTGAGAAAGAACAATAACTCTTGCAGGAGAGTCAGGGGGGTGCCAGCATGTGAAACATAAATACTTTAAGCAATGCAAATTTGCGACAGTCAGGTACTTGTGGTAAGCAATTTGTTGCTTGGGTGAAGGATATTCAGTGGCATAAATCATGGACCAGGTGACCAATAATAGCCCAGTTTTTTCAGTGGAGGGAAGGATCAGGCAACCTTGATCCCTAACCAAATGGAATCCTCGCAATGACACTGCATTTGACCCTACTTTGTTCCCCTTACTGCTCACTTGGAGACATAATAAGGAGGTTACTATCCACATTACCCATTTTAGTGCTGTGTACCCATCCATACGCTATCAGTTCCCACCTTCCTCTTCTTAAAACCCACACTCTGTGCTTGCATCCGTCCCACTATGCTTTTCCCGATAGGAGATGATGTGGAACCAGAAAAAAACTAAAGCCCAATTGAAGTTTAACCCCCCTCTTTTCCTTTGTAGTATTGTACTGCCATATGGTGTTATTTTTAACTGATTCTCTCTTGGATATGCGCTTGAATGAATTTCTATCTTGGTGGAAAGAAGCATTCTGCCCCCCAACTCAATTGTGCTCTATGCTGGCATAGATGAGCATTAAGTTCAGCCCTTATCACAAAAGATCCCACACCAGTAATGTTGAGGAATAGGGGGGGGTGTCTGACCAGTGCAGGTTAGGTTATAAAGTTCCCTGGGCAGAGCAGGGCAATAGAGTGCCTATTACATTGCACAGTCATATTAAGACATGATGTGCTACGGTAATATAAAAGTGAAGGTAAGACTGGGAAAATTGAGGTTGTTAGTGCAATGTCTATCTCACTGAATATATATGTCTTTGACTTCAACTGGGCTATAAAGGATTAGGAAACCATGACCACCCCCTTACCCCACTACAGAGGAACACAAGTATAGAGTAGGCCTACAACATGACTCCTACAAAAAACATCAAATTGTCAAACCCCAAGGATAGTGTCTACCTCTCCTTCATTCCTTCTTCACATTATGTTTATTACTAAATACTGGGGAACGTTAAGTGCTGGACTGATTTGGTGGCACATCATACAGATAAACTCAGACTACTCACTTCAATTTAATGCTATTTAGTGGAGTTAGCATTTAATACCTTTTAGACATCTGGTTACAGGAATGTATTTAGAATCTTGCTATTCTTTAAGATAAAAAAAATATATGAAAGGAGGGGAATTGTTCTTTCAAAAGAAAGAAGAATCTCCAGTATGTTCAAGAATAGTCATATATGAGTTAAATGGCTTACGTCCCTCAGACGTAAGAGATTAAACCTGCTTTGTAGCCCTAGGCCTAACGTAACCAAATACCTAAGCATTTGGGTGGTATGACCAGCTGTATGTGGGATCACTGATTGTGCAGTGATGCTGCATAGTATTTCATGGCTTCATTGTCACCTATAGTGAGGCTTAGGAGGCGAGAAAGCTGCCATTTCTGACTTTTCCTTCTGAAAATGCTAGATTCCTGGTTGTCTTTCTTAGTCACTGTCCAGAAGCAATGCAGAATATGAATTCTGACCATTCTGTGACTTTGTTTGCTGCATGCTTGTTGTGGATCAATGACTTGAAAAGTATTGAAGCCAGAGACAGCCTGGTGACCAGCATTTATGAAAGTAGATCAGCAACTTACATCTTTCTCTTACTGCAGTTTGGGAGTTGTCAGTTTAACTAATGGACATAAGATACATGAGAATGTGTGCTGCCTGCAACCATGTTCTCAGACAGGCAAACAATCAGATTCTTCCTCTATATATTACAGAAAAAGAAGAATCTGATTGGTTGATCTAGGTATTGCAGGGGATGATTTGCATTTAAACTGGAGCAAAAGTGGAGCTGTTACCCCCGGCGACAAAACTGAACTTTTGTTTGAAGGATGAAACTTTATTGGTTGCTAGAGGTACTTGCAACTCTTTTGTTACATTTTTCTTTGCTCTAGTTTTTGTAAATCCACTGACTGCCTGAGATCATTTATCTTTCAGACACATTGATAAATGATGCTTTTAATTCCATAGCTGCCAACTTTCCTTGATTTCCAGGGATAGTATTACGTTTTAAATATCTGTCCATGTAAGGCTATATGAAATCAAGTGTGTGGACTGGGCATGCTAGGGATCATATTGGACCCATTTACATTATGCTTTGCAGTAATGCATGTGTTTATGTGTACTGAAGGCATTCCTTTTAACTGAGCTGAAAATGCATCTAAAAAAATTCCTACACCATATTTTTTAATACAGTGAACCACAATGCACAGATGGTTTATGGTGCGTTGGGGTGCCATTCAACAAGGCACTGCAACGCAACACACTCAGAGCCCATTCCTACCTCATGCATTAGGCTGTATTGACCAATGCAGAACCAATACAATGACCAGCTGAACTCCATTTTTTCCAGTAGGCTCAGTTCACACCAATGCACAGGCTAGTGTGTTCTGGGTGAAAATGGAACATGCTGCAATACATGTTAAGAAAAGTATTTTAGCTCCAGCTTTGATCCAAACAAAGAAAAAAACTTACATCAATGCAATTGATTTAAAAAAAAAAAAAAAGCAGTGATTGCATATCAACTCAATTGCATTTAGCGCACATCAACACGTGCTTGGTGTAAGCCTAGTGTGCATCCAGCCTTAGATCCGTGCTTCAATACAAAGCAATAATATGAATGGGCCCTAAGAGACAAGTAGGCTGATTTAAAAACATTCTTTAAAAATTCACTTGATTTACCCAGTCGAGTGAAAAGCAAATTCCTGTTCATTTCATCTGCACGTGATTGGGTATTTAAAGTGGACACAGCTACAATGTATTGAGTGAAGAATCTGAATTTCTTAAGTAGATTGGCCTCAAGCTGTAAACCTGAACTCTGCAAGTTAAATTCAGGCGCACATAGTAATGTACTACAGCTTGGTCCATAATAAAGGTTCATTATCTTTAAATTGATCCAAGGCAAATTCAATGTGTTTTCCACCCCTTATAAATGCCCCATGTTTTCAAGGAAAGCATAACATAAATCCATCCTCCCCGAATTCTAGATTCAGTTCTTAGATTACTATTCTTATTTAGGCTTTGAGCTTTGACTCATTTTAATTCCAAAAATAAATAAAATTAGAAAATTAAAGGGTCAGACCATTCTAGAATGTTATGTTAGTTACAGACAGGAGAATAAGCTCACACCCTCTACATACAGTGAAGGCAGACATTTTGAGATGGGTGAAGGGATATTCACTAAAGGCAGCCTCTTCCGTCATTGACAGGTTTTTTCACACCTATGCAGTGAATACAGCCACATTGTGCGTCAAATTATTATTCAGTCTGTCCTTTTACCATGAACTGTGGACATCACTGTGCCATAGGAGAACAAGTCTAGCTTACAGGAAAATTACCAGTTCTCAGTAAACATACAGGCTAAATTTTCTAGGGGTGCCTGAAAGGTTGTCTCACTGTGTATAGGAGGCAAGTATACAGTCATATAAGTGGGTTCCCACAAAATGGTTGCCTCCACTGTATTACAACATAAGCTTGCACTGTTATGCAACCTTGCAGATTGCAGTCGTTACACACATACTGCAACAAGAACATATATGGTGTAATGGAAATATGTGGGGGGGGTGCGCTTTGTGTGGGAATGTTTGGTTCATGTCCTCCACCCTGTTTCTCCCCTTGTGCTGTTCAGACCCCAATAACTGTATGGAGTATCTCAGTGGGAAGCTCTCAAAATGTGGTAAGGACCCTTCAGCTGTGTGCTCATACCTCTGCTGCTGTTGCTATCGCTCTCCCCCTTGCTATCTACGCAGACTCCCTTGCTCATGATAAATCCTTCCCTCAGATTCCCACCCCTTCCTTAAACTACACAACAACCAATGCAGGCTGACATACATCATACATTACTATACATTCACATCACTATGCAAGAGGGTCTTAACCAGTTATAGAAATGTGGGAGAATTCTATATATATGTAGACTACCAGTTAATGGGGGTTTCCCCACATTAGGGGGCTGTGTTGCTTTAAGCTATTGTAACTACAGATGATGGTTGCCCATTACTACACACACTTGTAAACATATTTTTTTATCCCAGATACAATACTATGTAGTGCATAAAATACAATAAGTACATAGCTGCATTGAGTCTACTTCTTTTACAACAGAGAACCCTTTGATCATCACTGGACAATTTTCAGCCAAATTAGCATATATACCTAAGTCCCTAAGTAATCAGGTACCGATTGCAGTCATTTTTAATCTGCAGACTGCCAAAATAGTATTTCAATACAATGAAATAACTGCTTTTGGCATCTAATATGAATGGATAATAATTATGCCTTCTCTTGTAATACACTATATTTCCAAAAGTAGGTGGACATCCCTATAAATTGAGTTCTGGTGCACAAATCAAGGTCCATAAAGACATGTTTTCAAAAGTTGGTCTGGGAAAATCCAGGTGGCCTGCACAGAACCTTAACCCTATGGAACACCGTTGGCACATTGATTGTGAGCCAGATCATCCTGTTTAACATCAATACCTGGCTTTTTGTGGCTGAATGGGCACAGATCCCCACAGACACAAGCCAAAATTATGTGGAAAGCCTTCCAGAAGATTAGAGGCTGTTATAGCTGCGAAGGAACGGGGGACAATCCCATCTTAGTGCCCAAAGTTTTGGAATGAGGAGTCCAACAAGCTTACATAGATGTGATGGTCAGGTGCCCACAAACTTCTGTCCATATAGTGTATATAGAGTTGTGAGAAACTGTTGGTGAACCTTAGGAATTATCTGGTTTTCTGCACAAATGGCTTTTAAAATGTAGTCAGGTCTTTATCTAAATTGTAATCGTAAATAAAAACAACTTTATTTATAACACAACATTTTACATTACCATATTTGTATTAACCAAATGGCTTAAATGATCAAGGTAATGGATGAAAAATGTAGATGAAATTCAAGGATAGTAATACTATGAGCATTAGGTTTTCCAATCAATGAATAAGGTGTTCTAGTCTATGGTGTAGATTGGATGTGCTGCTCTGCTGTGAAAAGAAAAAAAATCACCGAACAAGAGTGGCATGCATGGTAGGTTCCTAGGGAAAAATAAATTAACTTTTAAATTAAGACTAATGCCCGGGCTCAATTTGCAAAAAAAAAAAAAGGGGGCTATTCATTCAGCTGCCGAAGTCAGCTGAGTGAATAACCTAGACGAATTGAAGGGAGCCGAACCACGTTCGGCTATTCATTTTAGCCGAGTATGGATGATTTTAGCCGTACATCGGCATGGCTTCGGCTCCCTTCAGTTCATCTGTACATGCTCTGCATGTTCGGCTGAGCGGAAGTGAAGAACCAATTCGACTCAGCCGATTCGACATCTGGATCAGCTGAGCCGAATGTCCAGCAGGTCACTCGCTGCCGTTCACCCCTATTCTCATAGGGGCCAAACGGCAGTGAGTGAATAGCCGAATGCCGCCGAGCGGCATTTGGCTCAGTTATACTGTTCGGCTCAGTTATTCTGTTCACTACCTCTCTGCGGGGGGGCTTATTTGCATCGGGGTAACCCCTTTAATAATCCCCCCCCCCTTGTAAATGAATTGAAGTATATAAACAGCCCACACTTTTAGAAAAAAAAAAAACGCACATTTTAAAAAAAAACTTTTTTAACTTGGGGTCTCTTATAACTTTCCTACCAGACCTAAAGGGTCTGGTATGGATTGGTAGGGGGACCCCACACCATTTTTTTTACATTTGTTTACGTTGGCTGTTTTTGCAAATAGCCCGTACAGCAGCCCTTCAGCTCGACTGAACCGAAGGGCTCCGGCGGCCGAAGTGAGCCAAAGGATTAGCCGAAGCTACAGCTATAGCTCAAAAAGATGGATCACATAACCTGAAAATTATCTAAAACACAGGAGTCAATCAATAGCAGAATGGGTGAAAGAGTCAAGTCGGAAACCTGACAATCCAACTGATAAAATCTTAAGGAGGCTTTTCAAGAAAGATGTCCCAAAAATATAACTTTTTAATACAGGAATGACCCGAAATATCTCCTAACTCTAGCACGGGTCTGCTTAGCAGCTCCAGAAAGTGTTTGATCAAGAATATTATCAAAAAAGGAGTTTCTACAAACTGGTTTACATACTTTATCCATCAGTGACCTTGATTGTGAAAACCATTTCTTCAACATGGTAATCTTCAATGTTGTATGATGTTTTTTATAACTGACTTGTAGATTGTTAGGACTTAGATAAAGATGTGATCGCATTTTAAGAGTTTCCTACAAAAATCCACAACCTTTCACAGGCTTGGCTGCCTTTTTCTCATAACTGTAATTAGATTAGAATTCTTCGAATTGTTTATCCTTTTTCTTTATCAAATGTCTATTCTGACTTATAGTTCATTATTCAATTCCCAGAACTTCAAACTGAAAACCAGCTGTGCTGGAAAGTGGCCCAGCCACCCTTACCCTCTTCCCCTACTTGTAGATACAGTTTCTTGCAACTTTTGGCTGCCATCAGTTTTCATCTTCAGCTGGTAGCAGAGGAAGCAATCTTGCATCCATGACACATGAGAGGCCCTAGCTCAGTTTTGCTGGAGTACATTGTTCTCAGCTGATGCCTAATCTAGGGGCAATACATTTAATAGTCAGTTCTTCTTCTTAACATGTGCAGCTGTCCCACCCGGTCTCTTTCTGTCTCTTCTTTCTGTCACCCTTCCTCATATGGTTCCAGGTTTTCTTTTCGTGTCTTTCTATCATCTACTTCATGTTCCCTTCTGTTTACGTTGCTCCTTCATTTTCATTCCGTTATCACCTTTCTGCCCTTACATGATAACATCAGTCCCCACCATTTTGGTCACTGCCCTGGTCATGGCTTTTAGCCCTCATTTCATTCCTTCCAGCAAAACATGACAAGCAGTGAGTTCCATCACATAGCAGTTACATTTTCATTGCAGTTTATGTGGATACAAAGTGATATTGTCTTGGCCTAGCACTTGGAACATAAACATGAAGGCAACCTTCCCCAATATGGCTCCTTGTATAAAACTGGAGGAGAAGAAAAGTGGATGCATGGCGTGCAGTTAAAAAAATCAAACTTGGAAACTGGCTGGTTGTTGTGGGTAGCAATACTCTTTCCTTTTCCTCCATTTTGTATATATATATATACGAGGCCTAATGGATAACTGAATCATGTGTACCTTATACTTTGGAAGAATCATTCTGTAACCATGTCATGTTGCTTGTCCTGGGTAACAAAGACATTTCATAATCACAAGTTTTATCAACCCATTCACAATTCAATTTCCCATGTTCATATATATTGCACATGGGCCTGATTATATAGTATTTTCAATGCAGTGGCCCAGTGTTTAGCCCTTCAAACATAGTAACCCGTATTTTAATAAAGTGTACCTTCTTTCTGTGTCTTGCGCTGGCAACCATTTTATGCATTCAATAGATTTTTATGGAACTCTTCATTATCTAAACGGGCTTTGCCCATTTGCTGGCACTGCATGTAGGTTACAGGTACACTTTATCAGCAATTTGTACAAAAATATAATGTTAAAGGGTTTAGTCTGTCCTTTTTTTGTTTTGACACAAGAAAGGCAGGCAGTCCAATTATATGTTACATATTAGCTCATACACATTGGTGTTTTTGACTGCAGATTGTACTGCACTCTCACATAGATACATATGTACATAATTACATAGTTAGGTTGAAAAAGACACTAGTCCATTACCTTCAACCTATGGAGAAAAACAGAAAAACCAACATAAACAGAACCCTGTGCCCACAGTTACCCACATTTGATCCAGAGGAAGCCTCAAAAGTTCTTCCTCAAGTTAATCTACCTGCATATAGTATACCCCTATTGTTGAGTTTGGGCCACATTGTTGGAACACGCATGCATTTGTACAGAACAAAGTATAATAGAATATTCGTATAACAAAGTTAATACTAATGTTATGCACTACCTGGCCCAAAAAAAGTCACCAGCTGGATTTAGCTTAGCAAATAGGTAAGAGACTTCCCTAAGATAAGTGTTATGATCTGGGGTTGGTTAAGTTGGTTAGGTCTAGGTTCAGCAACGTTGTGTCCCCAAAAAATGAGGTTAGCTGGCTACCTGAATATACTGATTGACCCTGATGGCACATTGGGCATATTCTGATGACAATGCCAGGAAACATCATTTCCATACATGGATTGGCCTTCACACAGTCCAGATCTTAACCCTCTTGAAAATCTTTTGGATGTTCTGGAGAAGACTTTACGCAGTGGTCTGACTCTCCCATCATCAGTACAAGATTTTGGTGAAAAATGAACGCAACTCTGCACGGAAATAAATGTGGAATTGCATAAGCTTACCAATATGATGTCACAGCGAATGTGTGCAGTAATCAAAGCAAAAGGCGGTCCAAACAAATATTTTAGAGTGTGTGACTTTTTTTGGCCAGGCAGTGTATTTTATCACTCATGAGTCACTTCCTATCATAATAAAAAGATGATACACTGACAAAGCAACACATATTTTTTGTTTGCATTTGATAATTATGCAAAGAAACATTATTTCTCCTTTCTGCCCATGTATTTTGCTGACTTTGAAATTCAAATTTGATTTCCTCGATCACACACATTACAAATCCAATGGCACAATCTCCTTTAGATCTACCAATAACTGCGTAGTACAAGGGCTTGTCTGACTGGATACAAATCAGATTGTATAGATAGGCCATCGCTTGGCATCGTTTTGGTAAATCTAAAAGCTACACACTTATTACTCTAGCTTGATTCCACAATGCCCACACATTACATCCCAGAATCCTTTGCAGGCTTGAACAAGACACACTATATAATCGGCTCCTGCTCTGCTTTCCTCACCCCATTTGCTGCTTTTTTCATTGCCAACACGCTAACGTAAGTCTTCTTTTACCTCTCTCACGCCTCTAATCGCTTCATGTATCCACCTGTCATTCAGCTCAATGCCTCTAAAGACTGCAGCATACTGCAGCTTTCTATGACAACAGAGCTGATGAATTGCTTGTGAAATGTTCCATGCACAGAAATCTCTGAATGATTTGCCTTCATCTGTAACTGTCATATTGTCTCATATCTGTCTATGGCTGTCTCTGCATATCAGTGCCTCTTGTGCAAGCAACATCTATCTCTCTTCTCCTCCTCTCCTATCCCTTATAACTTTCCTTTTGTCCCGCTTAATTTACCATTTTCTTTATCTTTTACTGTGCTGCCCTCCACTGCTGCAGCACATTGCTATGTTCTGGACGTACTTGTCAACCTAACAATGTGAATATGGCAGTTTTATGGGTTGAACCAAGATTGACCATACCAAGATGACCAAGGCACTTGAACCAGTCATATCACCGATGTGCGGCCAATTCCTAATACTAGACTAAATTAAAATGAATGTGACACAGCAACCAGTCAGATTCGATCTGTCATTTCCGCAGTGCAGGTTAGAAAATGAAAGCAAACAGCAGTTTGAAAACTATGAGCAACACTGCTATTACACATTGGGTCAAACTGAGTGGGCCTGCTTACATGACCCGGCACTGTGTGGTGACCCCCTCATACTGCAACAGGTGTATAGGTGAGGCTGCAATGGACACATAAGACCAGGTGGTGCTTGAACAAGGCAACATTTTCAATGCATAAAGATATTTTTTTTTCCAGCAGCTGCTCGGCCATACCACTGCTTCTTAATAAAGAGGTATAGGCTTTCTTTTCTTTTTTGGGAGCAGAAGTACGGCTCTACCTCTGCTTCCTAATATAATTTTTTGTTTTACAGTAACGGTCTGGCCATACTGCTGCTTTTTAAGTGAGCCCCTAAGCCTCAGCCTGAACTGATATACAATGCATTCTTATTGCATAAATAAGAATAGTAGAGCAGTGTGGAGTGGGGTCGGCCATGTCCTACGGTGTACAGAAAAGAGAAAAAAAGGGCTATAAACAGGCTACACAAGATGAGAGCTTCGGTGAAATATTGGATCAAATTGGCATTTATTGGGATGTTAAACTTGAGTGTAAATTTGATATTAGATTCTCAGAAGCACTGGTTCAGCCTACAAAAATGTCATCTCCACAGCAAGTAGTATCACATTATTTTATTTTATATATTTTATATGCTCATTTTTTTAATTTGTGTTTTTGTTTATTTTTTTATCAATACTATTCAATCAATACTATTATGTAAATAAGAGCACAGAAAAGATTTACTGCACATGGTATTGTGTTAGTCACAGGACACATTTTCATAAAAATCATAGGTGCTCCATAGCTCTTTAATATGTTAAAAATTTGTGTAGCTACATACAACGATGAACAAAAAAACTTTGTAAAAAATTCTGATTATATGGTCTGCTAAATGGGATTTAATCTTCATCTAAGTCATTGTTATAAATAAAGACAGCAATGTTTAACAAAAAACACATGGGGCTTGATTTATCAATATTGCCACACAGCAAGGCAGAACAAAAGGATTTCTTAAGGCATTGAAGTTTGATTGAGAAAAATTCCTTCTTCTGCCTGTTAGAAGTAGCACTGCACCAATAGAAAACATGGTTTAAACCAATGTTTCTTAACCTTTTTCCAATCATGGCACCCTTTAAAAGTATGCACAATCTCAAGGCACCCCAGTCGAAATGTAAAAAATTATGTTCAGCCCCTCCAGAACCCATACCAGGACCTTATCCCAGATAGCGGTCTGGTATGGGGTTTAAAGGGGGGCCCCACGCAAAAACATAAATAACATTGACTTTACCCCGTCACATCAGAGTCCCCCTTTCAAATTAGGAGCCCTGCTTCACATCAGAGCCCCCCTTTCACATTAGAGTCCCCTTTATATCAGGAGCCCCCTCCTTTCCTGTTAGAGTCCCCTCTCTCACTCTAGGAGCCCTCTTCACATCAGACACTACCCTTAACATCAAACCCGCACGTTTACATCAGAGCCCCACTTTCACATTAGGAGACCCCTTCACATCAAAAGCCTACCTGCACCATGGAAAGACATGACACTGTGCAATCATTTTCAGGCACCTATGAGGAAGCCGGGATGCTCCCCAACTCTGGTTGAGAAAGGCTGGTTTAAACAATCACGCTAATAAAAAAAATTAAACCCTTATATTTTCTAACCTCAAGCCAGTGTTTTTTGTACCTGCAGATCTGAACTACTGTACACAGGGTTAGGCATTTTGGCTAATTCATGTATACAGATCTGTGGTTCATATTCTGCATATACTGTGTAAAGTATTCTGCATCAGATCATGCCATAGCATGATGGTGGAAGAAGGAAGAGTATTACTGGCATTTTCCATTTGAACACTGTGGACTGATAGGGGCCCAAGTCTAAAAATTATTTTGTAATTCTTGGCAGTCTAACAACCATTCTTGAAGTTGTCCTTCAATTAACCCCCACCACCTCGTGTGTAGCCAACCAGTGAAGTATGGCTCATCCATAGGAATTAAGAAGTCACGGCGCACATGCGCGCTAAGAAGACCCGGCCAGTATGTCTTATTTGCAAAGGCTGTGCAGCACCGGACATGGTCGTAAAGATCGATGGAGTATTAAAGAAATATTTTACCAGACAAGCTGCACTCAGAAAGGTGATGGCTTAAAGGACAATTTTAATAAATGTAAAGTGTCCTGCAAGATCCAAAGAGATTTTTGATTGGGTCCCAAAATGTTGTTATTTAGAGCAAGTGTCCAACATTGTGTTATTTTTAAATATATTTCAGGACAGGTAAAGCCCACCTCTGAATTGATTGGAGTGCTCCAATTACCCTTTTTCAAGGTGTCATTTTCCTATACACTATATTCCTGGTGACCTTGATTGTTTAAACCCCATGCTACGTTCAACAAAGATACGGTAATACAAAACGATGTGCGTGTTACTTGTTGAATAAGACTGTCTTTATTTTTATAATTTACATGAAGATCTGATCGCACCTTAGAAGGTACGCAGAAATCCACAAACTTGTTATCATGGTTGTATGATAAAACATAAATTAGTTGTATGATAAAACATAAAGAGTTTTTAATAATTATTTCACAGCAATAATTTAAAAATATAATTTAATACAAAATCAAAATATACCAAATAGCCATAAAATGTTATATACTGGTAGCTATAAACTAAACCCCAGACAAACAGATAAAAATTGTTTAAAAGTACATATATCTGAACTGTCTTGCCTGCCAAATGATTGTCATTTTGTTCAGTCATTCTAGTGATCTAGGCACCCCTGCCATTCCAGTTCAGTAAAACACATTGGTCACTGACCCAGCCCCTGCTTGCTGCTGACCAAACAATAAGAGTGCAATTAGACCAAAATCAGAAGGAAAACGCAAGTCAACAAAAGGTCCATTGACTTGCATTTGTACCTTCCGATTTCCTTCCATTCCATTGCGTTGCGATCTGTTTTTCACCGGATGCTTATGGAAGGGCACCGAAAAATGAATGGGTGTGCATAGGGCTAGTTCACACTGGATCCGCTGCATTACTCTGTGCTGAAAAAAAGTAGTGCATACTCTGATGTTTTTTATTCAGTGCAACTTAAAATAGTTTTTAATTATAGTTTCTGTGCCTAGCTCCTGATACATTAATATTATGTGCATTGACACCTACGAGATGTCTGCCATTCACCATCAGATTGAATGGACCTTATCTTGTACACACAGTGCAGGTTAGCTCACTAGTCAGTACTGTAACCTGCACTGTATGGTCCGGACAGCCTCCTTATACAGAGCTGGTTGGTAGCCATCCAAGTATACATCAACATGCAGGGGTGAAAAAAAACTCTGGCCCTCCAGCGGTGATGAAACTCCAAATCCTATCATGCATCTGCCTCTGGGAGCCATGCCCATGGCTGTCAGAGTCTTGCAATTCTTTATGGCATTTGTAGTTTTACCAATCCCGGAGGGCCGAAGTTTGCCTCCCGCTGATGTAGAGGATGTCACGATGCATCCCTGAGCTTATTTTTCCCAAATACATCAAACACATCGAGGGGAATTTATCAAAAAGGGAGCAGACAAAATCTGGAGCAGGTTTAATAAATGCAACCAATCAGCTTCTCTCTTCAGTTTGTTTAGTTAAGCTTTGAAAAAGACAGAGAGACGCTGATTGGTTGCCATGCACTGCTCCTCCAGTTTTGATAAATTCCCCTCTGTGTTTTGTTTTCAAGTTGCTACCTATTCTACATAGAAGAATATTACTTCCCCTGACCGTTTTCTTGGCACCGATCCAGTATTTTAGTTATTTCGATTTCTTTGCTCCTCCGTGCTCTTGCTCGCACCACTTCCTCTGCATCCCACCCCTCATACAGTTTCTTCTTCATCCCTTCTGTAAAGTGCACCTGTCATCACATGGAGGTAGCCATAGCCATGAAAATAAAACATTCAATTTGCTAGAAACTGGTGAGACATCAATGGGAATGAACCGAGCAAAAACTAGTGGTGCCACTGGACCAGAATGAACAGAATGGCTGCTTCCACTCTAAGTGATGGGTATACTTTCATTCTCCCCGATTCTCTTTCATTCTTTCTTTCTACCTTTCTCTCTCTCTCTCTCTCTCTGCCTGTCTCTTACCCTTCCCCTCCTCTCTCCCTTCCCTGTTTTTCTCTCTATCTCTAGGCCGCCCAATCAGTAACTTCTTTGACGTACTTAAACAACTTTTTTCAGACGAGAAGAATGGTCACGCTTCTCCTGCCCCTGGGCCCCACAGCAAGCAGCGTCCGACTGATAATAAGGAACAGGGGCCCCTGGGAGCCAGCGGGAAGGAAAAAAGCAGGAAAACCAGCCCCGTCATCACTCAGGAGACCCCTGTCCCTGCTTCTCCCAGCAAACAGGGCACATAACAGAGGAATATTCCTGCTGTGACCTCAAGATGTCACTAAAGCCCAATGATACTACAGGGAGTATGCCCTGCTTTATACTCAGTGAACACAAGATGGTAGTGTCACAGAGTGCTACTATAGGATTTTGGCCTGTAAAATACACTCTGATGACAACATTTTTGTGCCGGTTGTACCCAACATGACCCATTAAGACTTTCAGAACAAAAAACCATGGAGAACTTATACTGTCACATGTGCTTTACAGGCGGTAGTAGTAGTCATAGTGACAGGAAGGTGTGATTTTCCTATGTATGTCTTCGTGCGCTAGAAATCTGTAGCTTTTTCGACCTTTCTGGAGCTACAGATCTCAGCATAGGTTTTTTGTTATGGAACAAATGTCATCAATGACATTGATCACTGGGACTGCTTTTCCATCACCATTTGAAGATCAGCAGATTATTGAACCCTGATGTATATACAATGAGGTGCAATTGTCTTGATGATGATACGGTGCAATCTCACAGCCTCGGGATGAGACCATCACCTTGTCAATTGCAACACATTTCTGCACCATAATCTTAATTATGGAGCCAAATGCACAAATAAGCTCTGAGATCTGGGTTCTCCTTCACCCTCCATATCATGCCAGATTGTAGATAATACCAAACTATGAATTATGGATTTATCGATCATATTCATATATATATATTTATTCTGCCATGTAAATACATATATACGTGTGTATATATTCCTGCACACCCTTGTACCTGCAGTATTAGTACTAAAGATAGAAGTGCATCATTTGATAGCCAGAATAATGAATGTTTATGTATATACAGCTATAAATATGTATATAGAGAGCTCGGAGCACAATCATTATTGGATGCTGCCTGCTTGGTTCCAGCTTCCTGAACTAATGGTTCTCCTTTCCTGTTCTATGTGTTTGTTTGCCATTTCACCTCTGTAACACCTTGTCATTTCCTTACTTCTGTTTTTTTTCTCCCCTTTTATCTATTTTTTTTATATCTGCCTCTTTTTATATATATACATATATATTTATTTATTTTTTTTGCATTCTTTCTCTCTCTTTCTCGCATGTGTCTTCTCCCTCACTTTACCCCCCAGGAATTATCCCAAAAAGCTAACCAGCCGCCCTTCTTCTTTCCTTGTCTGCCTGGCCAGAAGATGACCCTGACTTCACCCTGCACCTGCCACCCAGTATGGAGCCTGCAGCAGGGACATCTCTCGATCCGAGATGGGCAATAAAGCACACAGGAGTTGGGTTACCATCAAGTAATAATACAACGCACAATGACGTTGGGAGTTCACACTGGTCGTCGTGGAACATTGCAAGACTCAACTGTTGCTATTAGCTTTATGATAACCCTACTCCTGAAAACCTGCTTAGCTGCACCACCCAAGAATCGTAGACCTGTACTTGAATGCCTAGGGTTGTGTGTAGCTCTCTGGGCAGGAAAGGGGTTCCATAGATTATATTAAGGGTTTTTAATGCTGAATGTATTTAAGGGGTTAAATATGATTACACACAAACACATGCATACAGCACACACACACACTACAGACTGCTACATGAAGAGAGGGTTAAAAAGAGGAGCTGTGTTCTGTACTGAACCCCTATTTAGGGCAGTGCCCTATTATTCGGCTCTTGGGGGTTGGAATGATTTCTGAGGGATGTACACAGGGTGGGTTGGAGGGGGTTGGCATGTCCTGTTGCATAATGTGAAAATATCGGGGCTATTTTTATAAGGTTTGTAAGTTCAGGGTTGGGTGTTAATCCTTTTGTGTTTAAATTATTAACTGCTAACTGCAAGAATGGCCTGTGGATCAGTGTTGTGCATGGTGGATAGAGACACAAGAGTGCCCAGCAGCACAAGAGCATTGTGCCCACAGTGTTTACATATGTTCTTGCCTGTCTATATAGAAGCACACAGCGCTCTGCAGAGTGCCTAAATGTAAGAGCCAAAATCATGGCCCCACTTGTGGATGAAGCAAGCAACACATGACCATTGCCTACAGTATACTAGGAAGAAAAGATGGAGGCTAGATGGTTACGAGTGCTCACAAAACCTTTTTTGACAGGAAAATTAATTTTTCAAGGTTGAGGCTGAACTTCTGTGATGTGTCTTCAGTTGTTTTACCATTCCAACCTTTATAGCCACTAATCTGTACCGTACAGTTCTATAAATGTCCCATGGGATGATTTTTTTTTTTACCCTGAAGAAAGAAGAACGGAGATAAGATCACAAAGTAATGGGAAAAATCTGCCCTTCTCCTGTCCCGTTGACTTGGTCTGGTTTGACCTTTCCCAGGATTTCGGTGCCCAACTTCCCCCTCCCAGTGCATCCCTTAAAATGTTCACACGGACACAAAATATCATTGCTGCAATGAGATGATATCATCTACAGTGAATTCACAGGCTAGATCATCATTAGTGTTGATGAATGATAAATATGACTGCCTCCGAACATTCAAATCATTGAGAACAGCAATTGACAGGAAAGATATCATGTTAAAATACTGATAGGTTTATGAGAAACTTCCCTAATACAGATTGTGAAACAAAACTCTTGGTTATGGAATACAAATAAAAATAGTAAATAAATAAGCAAAATATTAAAACCTGACCAAATTTAGGCATATAAAGAGTTGAATTGATCTATCAGTGGTCATACATCATGTATTTTGTGCATTTTCAATGAAAATTATAAAGTATAATCTCACAGCTATTTAATATATTCCACAATCAGTGCAGCTTTCTGGAGGTCCTCCGATTCCTAACTTTCAAAATGGTTTCAGGCTGGACTTGTTTAAAAAGTTGCTTGCCTTGCTTACTATAATGAGCCCTACAATGGGTAGTGATAACAGGACCCACTTGCTGATGAATGACAAATAACATTCAGTTCAGATCTGAGGCAGCTATTGAAAACATTTCCCAGGTTTTAGTTATTTTAAGTTATAAAGCAAATATGTAAACACAATACTTCCTATGAATTTAAAAAACGAGTATTTGCCGCCTAACCAGACTGTAGTAAAATTAGAACCTGCCTTTGGTTAGAACTCTTCTTTTTTATAGGACTGTTAAAAGTATATGACATTTTAATTACCTTAGGATAACAATTTTTAGATGTGCTATATGGCCATAATTAAGTGGAAGCCCTTCAAAATGATCAAGTTCAGACGTTTAACCATACCCATTGTTAAATCACATACTCATGCAAAGTTATTGTTAATGTTACAGCATACAAAGCCATTTAAGGCAATTCTTTGCTTCCAACTTTGTGGGAACAATTTAGGGAAGGCCCTTTTCTGTTCCAGCATAACTGTGCCCCTGTTCACAAAACCAGCTCCATAAAGACATGGATTGATGAATTTGGTGTGGAGGAACTCAGGTGCCCAACACAAAGCTCTGACCTCATCACTACTGAACACCTTTAGGTTGAATTGAAAACTGATTGTGAGCCAGGTCTTCTCATCCAATATCAGTACCTCGAGAAGCCCACAAAAAGCTTAACACTACTGAACACCTTTGGGTTGAATTGGAAACCGATTGTGAGCCAGGTCTTCTTATCCAATATCAATACCTCGAGTAGCCAAAATGCAGCTCTGACCAGAACACTACTGAACACCTTTGGGTTGAGCTGGAAATGGATTGTAAATCAGGTCTTCTCCTTCAACATCAGTACCTGACCTCAAAAATGCTCTTTTGGTTGAATGGGCATTAGTGGGCAGAGACACTCTAAAAGGTGAGGTGAGGTTGGGTGTCTACAAACTTTAGGCTATATAGAGTATGTTACTCTTTACCTTGATTCCCAAAAAGATAGGTCTGGGTATAGATAATGGAAAATGTAGTGATAATACCCTGAGGCTGGAACAATGCACACTACACTGCAAGTTTATTCACCAGCACTGGTGCCAAAACAACTACCAATACTCCATCTACAAATCATGGCCGAAGTCAATAACCTATTTCCCAGAACTTTCAGGGCTCTGCAAAGTGCATGTATGCACTAAATTTTGCAATGCTTGAAAGGTACAGTATACAAAGGCACGCCATAGTCTGCGGGTTGTATGCGTACCACACTGCACTCACTGTCCTCTTGGCGTCTGTACACGGCACAACGTTCCACAGGCCTTTCGCACAGTGTGTGGTGTGAAAGTCTCTGTTATTTATAAATACAATATAAATATATATATTTAAGCTATTAGCTGTACAAGGATCAAGTTTGCGATGAATGACTCCGTTCGTATGTAAATAAACTGTTTTACTGAGCATATGTCCTGTGAATGGGAGACAGCACAATACATATTTATGGTTCAGCAGGAGAAAACACATCTGACCGCAATCTAAAACACAACTAAAGATTCTTCATGAAAAACAAGGCCTCAATCTCCTATCCTCCCAACTCCTTCCCTGTTCTCTCTTGTCCCTACGGTTTTAAAATCCATCCCATCTGTTGTATATACGTCTGACGCAAATGACGATCAGAGGGTATTACCTACTAAGAGGTGCTGAATTCTTGGGGCAGGAGAGATGTAAGGGCGGGGCTTGTGACATTTGGTAACTCAATGCTACCGGTTCCCTGAAAGGGTTCATGTCAATGTTCTGTTGATCTCCTGTCTGTTTACACTTGCACATTTTACAGTATTACACCCCACTCAACTGCCGAACAACCAGGCTGTGGCGGGAGTGGCGGTGGTAGGCATATGGACAGCAATATTCTCCTTGTGTGTTTTGTAAAGCCAGCGGGCGCACACAGCGGCATGTTACCCACCCGCGTTGGCATTCAACAAGGGAACAAAATTGAACGTCAGAAAACAACCAATAAAATTGTTCAGTATGTACACAAACTGCTCTGGTGTCATTATTACGAAATGTCTTGTTACCATGGCTTTGGCTCTCATTAAAAGGAGGCTGGATAGACGGAACTGTACTGAGGAGGCATGCAGGCTACCACTGATGGCTTTACTAAAAGGAAGAGTTCCCTGGCTGATATCTTTGGTATTTCCTAAGAATCAGAACAAACCTACAGATCAAGAGTTCTGACTTCAAATCTAGGTCTTGTTCTGGGTCTCCATCCTCAAGGCTGAGACAAGTATCATTAGAAGTGTAACTCCAAGTCTGTTGAGAAAGTTGGAGTTATACTTTCCAGCTTTTTGTTTCACTACATCTTTTCTCAGACTGATCTCAGAATG